TTTTAATAAAGTAATAAATCTTTTTATTATAAGTAATCAAGATTTCGAAGAATAGTATAAAAAGTATAAAGTGATTCCCAGACTTTTTCTTATATAGGTATTTAATGATACTAAATTTGTTGAGAGAAGTTATAGAAACAAATCTTATTTTGAATCTATTGATAATATTCTGAAGGGTGAATATGAATATATGTATATTGAATTGAATAGTAAAAAAGAAATCAAATCTATTTTGTTTAATAATAATGAAAACTTTAATTCTAATAAAGATTTTGAAAAGGATTCAAATAATATTCTAAAAAAAAACTTAGATTCAGATTTAGGTTAAAGTAAAACCGAGTTTTCAGGTATTTCAAGATGTAAAAGGTTTAGGTATAATAAGACTTTAAAGATAAATAAAGGATTAGGATTTAGGATATCAAAAAGGATTTCTAAGTGGTATAAGATTAACAAGAATATTGAGATTCTAAATCAATAAAGCAATCGGATTCGGTAATAGGTTTTAAAAATAGATTTGAATTATTGAATTATTGATTTATTATAATTTTATTAAAATTTGATAAAGTTATATCAAGTAATATTAAGAGTAGATAAGCAAATCACTGTATTTAGAAATATTAATATCTGTATCTTTCCTTATCTCATTTTTTTTCTTATTTTTTTTCCTTTTAGAATGTACTTTTTTTCCTTTTGATTTAATTGAAACAATCAATCTTTTTATGTGGGAAGGAATGTAGGCGAAACTTGGTATTGGTTATATAATCTTTTTCTATAGCTAGTATTTATAGGTCTTTTTTGTATAGTTTAGAAAAAGTAGTTAGTTTCTATTTATCTTCTTGTATGCTTTGTGATACGCTATGTAGTACTTATTCCTTCTCTTTTCTATCGGAGGTGCTATGTCTCAGTGACTTATTTGTGGTATTTACGAAGGACTACTTTATGACCCTACCACCTTCTACTCTTTTACACTAATTACTTTTTTATTGGTTGGAATATAGACTAAGTAATTATTAAACAAATCAGAACTTATTAGTATACCTTTTTAAGTTTTAAAATCTAATTTTCTATTACAAATCTTTTTATTATTAATAATATAAATAAAAAAACCTAGGATTTTAATATAACTTAGATTAGGTTTTTTATTATATATTAATTTAAATAGTAAATTATTAATAGAATTATTATATATTTTATTTTTAATATAAACAATAATTTTAATTAAATATAACCATAAATAAAATAAAATCTTTTTTTCCTTAATTATATAGATTAATCTTTCAATTATATATCTATTTAATATTTCGGTTATTTTATTTTGAAAATAAGCATACAAACTTATGTATTTATATATAATTCTATAATTTTGAATAAAATTCGATTATTTATTCAAAAGGAATTTGAAAATATTATCTAATCTTAATATTTTAATATTAATATTAAACTAATTTCTAATTAGATTATAAAACTTTATTAGAATATCATAAACCTAAGATTTAAATTTAATAAAATATATTTAAATAGTTTTAATAGCCCAATCAATAAATACTAAAAAATATTTTTTATTTTTAATCCCTATAATTTTAAAAGATCCAGCTATATCTAAACTGAATTTTTCGAATTTAAAGCTTATTTTAGGGATTTCCAAAGATTCCTTATTTATTTTCTAATAGAATTTATCGAATTTATATAATTCATATATTTTTAAATCAAATTTAGCTATATTTGATTAGATATTTAAAGATTTAATAATATAATCCTTATTTATATAACCTAATTTCTTATAAATTAAATTAAAATCGATTTTATTTAATAATAAATTTAATTTTTAAATTGATTTCTTTTCCATTTTAGCAATATTAATATTTTTAAAATATTGAAAATTTATTTTAAAATTAAGGTAATATGTATCAATTAATTAAAAAGCTATAATTTATATATTAATCTCTTTATAAATAATATTAATCTTATTTTTAAAAAAAAACAATATAACTAAACCATCCTTTTTAGACTATTTTATTTGAATTAATAAGATTGGAGGCTATATTAGGAATATAATATATCCCCTACAATAACATTTTTACTTTATTATTAATTAAAATAGAAATATTTTCTATATCATTAATATAAAACTTTTTCCTATTAACTATAATAATAAAATAATTATTTAATAATTTATAATTTATAAGCCATTCCTTATTAAATGAATAATATTCTATAACACCCAAATTTAATATAAATTTATATTTAGATTTAAAAGATTGATTAGTTAAATTTATATAATAATCTATAACTATCAATTGCTTACTAAAAATAAATTTATTCAAAAAATTTTTTAAATCTTTATTCAAATCTTTATTCGAATTTCTATCCAGATTTGATTTAAATTGTTTCTTATTATTCCCTTTATTAGTTTTTAATTTAAAATATTTTATAAAACATTTCAATTCTAAATATTCCTTTTTAGAGTAATACTTGTAATAAAAAACTTTATTAAAACTTATTTTATTAGTATTTAGATTAATATTAGATTATATTCTAACTTTTTTGAATATTAGTTCAAAAAAGAGTTTATTTAGATTAATATTAGTTATATTTTTAACTAATTTTTTGTATTTTCAAAAAATAAAACCATCAAAAAAGCTAGGTAAACCTTTAAAAAGAAATTATATTATAAAGATATCTAGAATATTGAAATTTATCAATTTTAAATAACTATATAATAATTAAATCGAATTAATATATTTGTTTATTTTTTCTGAACTAATATAATTAGATTTTATTAATTTATTTAGATATCTTCCTATTAATTTAATAAAAAACTCTTCAAACATCTTATTAATAAAATCCCATAAACTTTTAATCAAGGTTTTGATCTTGAATTTTTCAACTAATTTGAAGCTAATTATAGATTTAATAGCTCCTAATACCTTTTTTTTGTTTCTCTAATATTCTGAAAATCTTTCATTATATTTTATAACTAATTTAGATAAAATAGATTCTCCTAATTTGTTTATATATAAACTTTTATTAAATAAAATCTTTATATCATTAATACATAATATATAATTATTTATTTCAAAAAAGAACTTAATTTAATTAATTTATTTAATATAATTAAATCTGTTTTTTAAAGAATCAAATTTAAAATTGATATTAAAAGCTATTTTAAATTTTTTATAAACTAATTGGTTTTATATACTAATTAAATACTAATTTAAATATATAGCTAATTTCGGATTTGAATAGATTAAATAAATAAATTGATTTAAAATTGATTTTAATCTCAAGAATCAAATAGATTAGGTATTTCTTAAATTAGATTTTTATTTTAATTAATATAAAATAAAGATTAAATAAGTTAGGGTATTTTGGTATAAAGAAAATTAATATATTATTTGTTATAGATAATAATATAGTATAAATATATTATTTAGGGATTTAATTTTATATATTCAATTAGATTTAGTTTTAGGGATACAGACCTCAGAATCTATATACAATAGTTTTCGATATAAATTCAATTAAATTGATTTAAAAAATTTAATATTCGACAACTCAATGACAATATATATATAATATATAATCTTAAATCAAGCTAATTTTCTTTTTTAAGTTAGTTTAGATTAGTTAGATTTATAATCTCTTAAAAATTAGCTCTTATAATAAAAAAGAATAATATTATTATAAGGATAGTGGAAAATTTAATCAATTTAAATTTGAAAAATAAATCGAATATATAAAATAAAAATTAAATTGAAATCAATTTAGAAAAACTAGATTAAATTGAAATGAAATTACTTATTTTTTTCTAGAATTTCTTTAAAAAATATTCTAGGTTTATATAATTTATAATAAAATTCCAGTATATTCCATACTTATAAATAAAATTGATTTAAATTGTATCTTATAAAATCACTTTAAATAATAAAAAGAAAGTACAATTAATCAATTTAGTGAGATTTCCTGTATACTTTTATTTAATTCCATTTTATTTTATTCCATTATAAATTAATTTAATAAAAAATACCATTATACAATTATATAATAATATGATTTTATAATACAAAATTATATTATATATATATTAGTTATTAATATATTTCTTATTTGATAAGATATTAGTAAGTGATTTAGTGGATTTATTATAAATCCTCATACTCATACTTTGTTTTCTTTATCATACTTTCCTTAATCAACTTCAAGGCAACAGGTTGGGACCTTGAGGTGGTAACAGAAAACTTCTCCTCATTCTTTCCTTACCGACTCTGTAATCGTCTCATACTCTTTATTATCAGACGTTATGAATATAAATCAAGTCGAGGCTTCTCGGTCTGAAACTAACCCTCCTTTAACAACCAAATTCGAAAGTCAAAATGATAAGATCGGCAATATTGAGACTTCAAATGAGCTTTACTAACGGTTTTACTAAGATGCTGGTCGTAGAAAATTTCAAGCACGCGTCAAAGAATATGCTGAGTCTCTGGAGAAGATCGATCCAAAAACCTCGCTGAAATCATGGATGTCGCTGAAAGTGGCCAATGATGAAGTTATCATCAAATGTTTGGAGAGTCCGGTGGTAAAGTTGAGGTACTACAAGCTATCAAGCTTGATTTCCTCACTTGGACTCGAGGACGCGGGTGACTATGATGGTACGCACAAGTACAATTCTACTTACTATAACAAACTTCACCAGACCGTATACTACTACGTCTGTGATAAATTACTTCCAAGGGAGGTCGAAGCCTTCTTGCCAAAGAAAGCAATCCATCTGGCTGGGGGAGTATGCGTTGACGTTAAGAGTTGTTATGCGGCGATGAATTCATACAATTCAAAGATGAGAAATCATCTAGGGTTTGCGGTTTTAATGTAAGTGATCTATGCGATCTTTGATAGTATGTTTTCTGACATGTGCCAGACATTTTCTTACTTGTGACGATTTCCTCCAAGTGAAGATGAACAAGTTCTCAAACCGGAATCAACGAAAAATTTGTTTCAGGAACATGTTGATGAAATACCCAAATGTTATGGTCCTGCTGGCCGATTCGGTGGGAATGATACTTGATACAAACTTCGTATATGCGACAACAGTATACACAACAGCTGCGAGACTTGGTGACGACGTTCCGGGTTCCCGTCCTACTCATGCAGAGGAGGACAAGGTTAAACATACCATGAGGCGCTTTCATATGGCGCGAGGTGTCAAGCTTCTCGAGACGATTTTTCGGGCTAGACTGAATGTTGGAATGGAGGAGCAATTTCCCAAAAAAGAGAAATTTAAGGCTTGGGTAATTACTTCAACTCTTCCCATGTGAACTCTTGTTAATTTGTTTGTAGGAGCTGCAGTCAATCAACTCGTGGAGTTTGGACGAGGACATCAACAAGCTGCAGGGACTCTTCTCATTGGGAGACATGCCGGCCAAGGAGAATTACAACAAGATCCATCGCAGTACGGTTAAAGCACAGCTTAATCAACTGGATGAGGCTCATGATGAGGTTGAAGATGATGATTTGTTTGGAGACGATGAGGTTGCGGATGACGAAATCATTAGTATTTGAAACACTTTAAGGCTCGATTTATGTATGTAGAGTTGTCCTATTTATCATGATATGCAAAGTTACAATTTGTGTACTTCTTTTCGTTGGATTCATAGTTTTCCTTCTAATGTTTGCATGAATGTGATTTATATCTAGTAATATGTTGAAGATTTGATCGAGGAACTTTCGAAGACTACTGGGATAACAAGGTGACGTTTTTGTGACCTGAATGCTATAGGACTTTTATGAAAAAAATTTGGAGATACACTTGATAATTTTGCATACACAAACAGATGTGGATGGTGTGAGAAGATGGATTAAGTTATTGAGCTGATAGGAGAGATTTGGGTAGCATAAAAGATTTTCGGCTCAATTAAATTATGATAGAAAAAGGGGTTCCATATGAGGGAAAAGGCAAGTGATATATTCAGCGCACATCGTTATAAGAAGAGGAGAATTTTGAGGCACAAAGGGATAGGGGGGTAAATGGAGTGGATTTATGGAAACGTAAACACGCGGGTGAGAGTGGACTGAACATGTAGTGCCAGCTAACGAGAAGAACTAGTTGTACCGATTGAATGAGAAGTACTTGTCAAAAGGAAAATGTAGGTGAATGAGACAGGGTTGAGTCATATGAGAAGAGGGAGAGCGCAGAGGGAAGGGCACTGGTGGGAGAATAAATCTGAAAAACATTATGATGAAAACGGCAAAGCAGATGATCATATGGTGGCGGAAGTGTGCGTGGAAAGAATGAGTATAAGAGACATATTACAGCGTATCTGAAGAGGTAAGGTGGGCGTTATGCAGTTGGATAGTGGACGGAGAGAACAGTGAGAATAAGTAGCTAGAGAGGAGAAGATTCAAGCTGGGTAACGAGACGAGCAGTGACGTAAGGGATACGTAGGACAGGGTTTATATTGGGAGGAAAGGGATAATAGAGGATGAGAAGCTATGGGAAAAGGTGTGATGAGAAGAAGATTACAGTTAGGAAAGGAAAGGTTGTAAGGGGAGAGGAGGTAGGTGAATCAGGGACAGTGGCAGTGAAGGATTCATATGTAGGTGAGGATAATGGCATATATTAAAAGGGTGTAGGAGAAAAGGGAAGAAGCTTTGGTGAAGAGGCAAATTTAACTAGACAGGGAGCGCCAGTAGGCTCATATTTACAGTCGCGTATGGGTTAGAAAGTATGTACGACTTGAATCTTCGATAGTATAAGGTAAGGTGTATTTAATATTGGATGCCTACTTGGTGTTTGATTCGATACGTGATATTACGCGTATGCGATGGCAGACGCGAAGATGGATGCTTGGAAGCGGTCGCCGGAGGGGGCAGTAGGTATGAGAAGAAAATAGGCGAAAAATTAGGTGTTTGAGAGAAGTAGTTTCCAGGGAAGAATTTGTATATCAGAAAGCATTTTTCAGGTGCGACTCTAAATTCGGGAGGGAGAGTTTGCAGGAGGACTTGTGTTTAGGAGGGGCGAGGGTGAAAAGGGGTTCGCAGGTGGGGAGTGATGTGAACAAGGGAGGGGATTGCAGGTCAAATGGAACGTGGATAGGAGGCTATTGGTGAAAGGATATGGGGACGAGCGAGAGCAGGTCTGGGTAAGTGGAGTAGTGGTTGAATAAGGGGGCACCAGTGGGGTATGCGCGCGGACAGGATGGATTGTGAAAAATATGAGGTACATGCGAGCGGCATGAAATATGGCGAAGGAGAGGTCATCTCGAGCGGTAGAGAGTTTAACTAATCGGAGACGAGTGCGAACGACGTGAGGTATAGCTAAGAAGAGTTTAACACGAGCGGCATGGAGTATAGGTAAGAGGCGGTATACATGAACAGTATCGAGTGTGGATGAGGATTCAGTATGAGCGGCACAGAGTTTAGATAAGGGGAGTTGGCACGAGCGGCATGGAGCGGGGGTAATGAGAGGTGTGCGCGAATGATGTGAGGTGCGGCTAAGGAGGAGTCAGCTAGACCGGCATGTGGTTTAGCTAAGAGGAGGGCGACATGAAGTGCGACTAAGAGAAGTTGTGCGTGGGCGGCATAAAGAGCGGCTAGAGAGAAGTCAGTACAAGCGGTATGAAGTGCAAATAGGGAGGGGTGGGGACATGCGAGATAGGATGTGAATAAGATGGGTATGGCAAAATGATACAAGAGGCGGCTGAGAACATGTTCGCGGGACCGATATGTGAGGTGTCGCTGGGACAAAGGAAGCACAAGTGGTGTAAGGTATAAGCAGTAAGAAACGTGTGCGAATAGGGAACGCAAATGAAACGAGGAGTTCGCAAACGAGATGAGATGTGGTTAAGCTGATAGATACACAAGCGGAATGGGATGTAGCAGAGATGAATTGGAGGTGAGTAATTCAGAGTGCGGAGGGGAAAAGGGGAATACAAAAGAAAGAAGTAATGGTAAAATGATTTCTGAAAGCGATGACGAACTGGAGGTATAGGTGTATCAAAATTCATATGTGTATGTCCATGGAACATCCAGGGGGGCGATAGGCGTCAAGCGAAGATATGCGGGGGCTTTCCAGGAGCGGATGTGGATATAAACTTAAGATGTGGGGGCCGGGATTGATTTTAAAGAGCGGCTGCGTGTGTAGAATGAATTGTGAGGTCCGGGATCATGTCCATCTGCCTCTGTATAAGGATTGCGAGGTTAGCCAGCAGGTGTGGTTTCAAGGAGATGATGGGGAAAAGGAGGTGAGCAGAGTAGGGTATAGCGAGATGTAGAGATATGTCGGATAGGAATTGAATAAACGGAGATTGCTGGATGAAGACATTCTGAAGGGGAGAAGTGGGTACAAACGGAAGATGAGCGAGCAAAGGGGGTTGCGCGCGGAGTGGGCCAGGAACAAGGGGTTCGTCATGATCTTGGAGGTTACGTTCAAGGCGGGGGGGTCCTCATTCTGCCTATGGAAGCGTGGCCAGCATATCTGTTTCGTACATCTCCTCCACTTATAAAATATGTGTTGAAACAACACTCGAAGTATACCGATACAGGTAGATTCCATGCCCTCGTTCAGGTGCTCTTCTCTCGCATAGGTGGATAGGAGGCGGTTGTAGGTTTACTTTTTTCGATTCGAAATGTAGGATGAGGAAGGTACGCGAGTTGGGAGAAATGATGATTGCCTTCGGAGACATTCGTTTTCGAGACTGGGTTTGTACAATGTTTGATCGGGACTGATTAAAAAGATTATATTAGAAGGGGTTCGTGGATGAATTGATTGGTAGTACTTACTTATATTATACTCTGATAGGGAGTTGCGAGGGTAAAGAATTGTGGTGGATCCTGATACTGTAGGACTATGGAATGGAGGATGATGGGAGAGGTGGGGTGGAGAGACGTGGGGTGTGCAGATTGCCGTTTGGAAATGCCGGGCTGTGTGTACAAACTCGCCAAAAGCGGTCTAGTATATCGTAATGAATGAATGACACCTGTAGGATATTTGTTAAGTGGATTCTGAAATCATAGGATAACTTTCCAATTGTTACCTGATTGCTTTGTAAAATTTGAGGATAATACTAATAATATAATAATCAAAATGTTACAGATTTGAAGGCATGCAAGATTTACCTGATTTTGGTAGGGAATCTAACGAAATTTCAGGCCAAACTTTGTGAATTGATCCCAGTCAATGAAGCATGAATACATCGAGATGACTTGAGGGTATATAAAATAAAAGAACATATGAAAACAAGTTAGAGACATCATCCTGGTTGAAACTTTGTAGAAAGCATAATTGATTATTGTTAGGACGACAATTACTATTACCTACATGCTTCACTTCACCTATGTACGTTTCCGTTTCTGGCTACGGGGTACAGGAGTAATCTTCAATGGCTTCCCTTGATCATAAATCCAACCCTCCCTCATGAAGATTGATAATCTACCAAGTAAGTGCTCTACAAATATACGATCAAATCCGACGAACCTTTGTGTTTCTGCTTCTAAAGTTGCCATTAATGAAACTGTGACTACTTCCGCTAATGATGGGTCAACAAAGCGATGACCAGGACCAAATTTCTTTTCAGAATCTGGAAATAATTGGTTCAAGGCAGCCCATGAAGAAGAGGGGTTCAAGAGTAGAGACCAGTCTTCGGGAGTAGGATCCATAGACCAACCAAGCCTTGACACGTCGTTGGCAACTAAAGATCTTATCATACCTCCTGCAAAGTCTGCATTAGATGCCGCTGAATGGACTTGAGACCAATCGGGTATCTTTGAAGTGAGAGGGAGAGGCCAATCAACTTTCCAACAACTCCTTAAACGTGTTGAGAATTCTTGAAATGTTAAAGGGAATTGAAATTGATTATAAACCCTTGATTGACCATACCATTCTTCAAATGGTGAAGAAGTGATAACAAGCTCTTCTACTTCTTCAAGGCGAGTAAACTTTTTCCACCTCTGAAGCTTCTTAAGATTACCAAAGAATAGTGTTCTAATTGATAAGATATTCTTAAAAACTATGCCTGCCTCTGATGACTTGCAGTTTCTTCGATCCAACTTGGCTTTAGAAAGAGATCTAAAGGAATCCCCGGCCTCCCTTTGTGAGGATTCATAATAAGTCCACTAAATCACTTACTAATATCTTATCAAATAAGGGATATATTGATAACTAATATATATATAATATGATTTTATATTATAAAATCATATTATTATATAGTTATATAATAATATCTCTTATCAAATTAATTTATAATAAAATAGAATGAAATAGAACTAAATAGAAGTATACAGGAAATCTCACTAAATTGATTGGTTATATTTTCTTTTTATTATTTAAAGTAATTCTATAAGACATAATTTAAATCGATCTTATTTATAAGTATAAAATATACTGGAATTTCATTATAAATTATATAAATCTAGAATATTCTTTAAAGGAATTTTAGGAAAAAGCAAGCAATTTCATTTCAACTCAGCCTAGCTTTTCTAAATTGACTTCAATTCAACTTTTATTCTATATATTTGATTTATCCTTACAGCTTAAACTAACTAGATCTTCCACTATTCTT